CTCCCCGTTCAAACGGTCTTGTATCTGAAACTCCGTAAGGAGAGTGCTATGCTCAGCCCCAGAAAAAACTAAGACATCAACGAGAGCTCGCCAGTCACTCATACATATTTCTTATTTTCCTGAATTACTAATTCGCCGTCAGATTCTCGGAGTTCGCTCTGGGTAGTTTAGTAGCCAGCTAACGCAGGCTCCCCAATTAAGCGATAAGGTTTTGGGTGTCGATTTGTGCTCTGACAAAAAGGGCCATGAACTAATTAGTTTAGAGTCAAATAAGGAGTAACTATTCCACGTTTAATACAAAATTTAGAGTTTTGAAATTAACCAAATATTGTTCTGTCAGTTTTGTTAGGATCTAGATCCATTATTAAATTGCGTGATATTTTTGCGTTTCGTATATCATTATAAAACCGCGTAATTGAAGTAGTTAGCTACCATTCTGCGATTTGCGTCAACAACAAGTCTATTATACTCCAATTTGCTTATAGAATTCAGTCACACATACATTTTTATATTTACTAAAATAATTGTTAATAAACCTAATTAATGAAAGGTATTAACCTGTAGATTTCACTCTTTAACCACACGCCACCACGATCCCACATTCTTTTAGAACTAGTTGTAGTAAAACCGAGTCGCTTAATAGGCAAAAGCCGCTCTTTGCTTCATAAGCGCTGTAAAATACCTGAGTCTAGTACCAGGGACGTTACAAAAATGTAAATAAGGAAATAAATAATTACATAGCTTTCAGAATAATTTGCAAAACGGCGTTCAATTCTTATGAGGAATGAGAAACTCATAATTAAAAACGACATGTTAAAAAACGAGCGATTGACACAATAAAATCAATCACATCACGTTTCCAATATATTATTCACTTTATTAGATGTATATAGGACGTGCATTTTATAAATAATAAACATAATTTATTTAAGACTTCGTTTTACCTAGCAATTTCATATAAACTAGCGATATGCACGCTGATCATAATCATTAGTGATTCCGTTCCAACCAATATGGTTACGCCGATTATTAGTGAGAAATATATAAGGAAATTGTTAAGAATTGGGTGTTGTTCTTCGTCAAGCAAAAAGTCCGTTTCTACTGGAAACATTACTGGGCGAGATTCATTCAACGGTAAAATTATGTCCAAAATAATAGGAGAAATATGATACAGCATTATCATGCATCCTGATGGGTAAACAAAGGCTGCAAAACGTATTACGAATTTACTGAATTACTTTCGAAATTTCAAACTATTCAAGATTTTTCTCACCTGCAAAAATTATTACTAAACGTTTTCCATCAGAAGCGTGCATTTGCATGATTTGAAGTATCTCTTCATTACTCGTCCTCCAATCAAGTCTAATTTGATCTAAAAATCCTTTTACCTGTATTTTACAATAATATTTAGACAGATGTTCCGTTAACATAATTTCAGTTTTAATATTGATCGTACATCATTAGTCTGATACACGGCTATGTGGTATCTTGTACATGCAACCATGGTCAACGCCATAAACGATACTAATCGTAGCATACTAAACAGATTTCTCTCTGTAGTGAAGAAAGCTAAAAACTATGAATACCGTAGGTCCTTAAGTGATCTTTCAAAAATGTTAAAGCATGCATAAAACTTTCATTAATGTATTAATAGTTCTTAAAACAAACTTGATTACCCACACCTGAGCGGTTGTAAACATGGAAAAAACGAGACTGACGATACCATTTTGCAAGAGTCGAAGTTTCTTGCCTGTGTACGGCCAAAGTCCTATCACAGACGTAAAGAACATACACCACTTGTAATCGCTATTCATTTCTGCTACTTCCTTCAATGGCCCAAACACTACTGATCTCAGAGTTACCTATCTACTCTCCATTTCACTTCACCCTTCCGCAAATATTACCTCTTCGAAGCATTTTCAAATAAAATAAGAGAAAAATTCTTTCGACGCAATAGAGTGATTGACAGGTCGCACATGTGTGGAATTAATTATTAACGAAGATAGTGTGCGAGTATCGCGATCGGCAGCTGCGGCATAATATTATAGTGGCGTCAATACAAAAATGATGGGGTAAAAGAAAAGGCGAGAGAAGGAAATTTTCTGAACAATGTTAAATTTTTATAACTCTATGCAATACGTGCTTACGTCGGAGGATACTGTTCGATTACCCTCAGTTGGTTTACGTCCGCCGAAGGTAGAACACCCGTTGAAACGCAGACATCTTTGGAGTGGAATATTGAAGTAGTCTGTGACGGTGATGTAAGTGCACGAATTTATATTATATTAAAATTATACTACCAACAGGTAAGGAGAGTTATTTGTGAAATAAAAAGAAGTCAGACAGACAGTTAACTTGGTTAATAAGATTTGTTAATTAATTTTGAATTGCTATACAATGAACGTCGTAACGTTGAGGTCGCAAGTGAAAAATAATAACCCGTCACTAAATAAGAAAAGTTAATCGTTCCTAACAGACTCTTAATTTATCGTATAGAGAGCAGAACAGTGAAGTAAGATACCGATGCCTTTAAAAGCTGAAAAATGAGAATTCAATGGAGAATAATGTTTTTTTGTGGATTTTAATAAAATATTAAATATACCACTGCAAAACCTTCGACTGACGGAACATAGACGCTTAGAAAGTCGAACGCTACGCCTCTGTTGCCATTCAATATAATCAGTTGCAGTAATTTCTGCGTTGCTACAGACGTTTCGTACCAGTTAGTATTATACCTGCAATTATAGATATTAGTACACGGCTAAATTGGACGACAAATATTACGACTAGTGTCAATTAAAAAAAAATTCTTTTTAATGGTTCATTAACATTTGCAAATAAAATCTTTGGACGGATGATTAAAAAGTCTGCGACTCTAACATAGCGTGGTAAATAATAATACTGTCTTTAGAATATTGAAATTATATAGCATGTTCTATACGATTAGGACAATAACGACAACGAAAGCAATAAGCTATGATAATAATAGTAAAAATCAATAGAAATATAAAAAATATATAATATCATGAACAATTAATTGTACTTAATCTTTAAGTGCTTACGTTAAGTACATCGAAATGGTGCAAAAATATACACCGCATTTTTGAAAAATAGATTATCAGTTAGTATGATGTCCTTTGGGTATTTTTAGCAATACAGACTCAAAGGCGTTTGTAATCAACATGAACTTGACGATTAACAATTAGGAGGACTGATTTTGTGCAAATAATATTCCAATACATTTACGTTGTTAGTGGGATGCTGCAAGCGCTGTCAATCATATGTTCGGCTGCAAGGTTCATCCAAAACATGTATCCCAATGTGGAAGTGAGTAGTAACAGGGATAACATTGTGTCCCTGATGTCTGATAACCGAAGCACCGTTTCAGACAGCTTTAACAGACACAATTTCTAAATCCTTATTATGGATGTTTTGAAAAGAAAAAATGATTTCCATGCTAAGTGATGTAAAGTGGTACAATGTGAATTACTCACGCAAAATAAATGAATGCTTAAGGCAATCACACCAAGTATAATGGTGACAACGTAGGATATTTTGCAGTGGTTGTTTAAGTCACGTGCAAATCTTCAAAGATATACGTAATCAGTAAATAAAGTAATATATTGCGGTTATGTAGAAAGTGGCTTAAGCCAGAGGTCATTATCAGGTGCAACATTCCACTTTAAAATGAATATTTTACTGACGTGAATTTATTTATGTAAGATTATATCATATAGTTACTACGACATCATAAATTAAATATAAGGGAAAAGTAGTACTCGTGATTGTAAGAATTCAAACAGGAAATCAAGCCAATAAGATTTGCTCGTATGGCTGTTTGTCTTTTGTTGAAGAATGATTGAAAGGGGTTGAAAGTGATAGTTCACCGGAAGACAACGAGAAAAACGGTTCTAATTAACATATTTAGAGTTTTCTTAAATTTTACATTGAATATTCTGTTTAAAAACATGTCATAAATCATAGTATTCTGTTTAAAAACATGTTATAAATCATAGTTTAATTGTGTTAACAGTCCGTGTGTAAAGTTTCTATAGAATGTTTATCAAATCTTACATGATATTAAAAATGTAATGACAATCAATAATATTTGTTTCAAATATATGTATGTATTTTGCATGCAATAGTGAAATGTAAAGAGTAAGTTGCAAGAACTTTTACACTTTTTAGACAGATAGAACCTAGATAGAACCTAGATAGAACCTAGATAGAACCTAGATAGAACCTAGATAGAACCTAGATAGAACCTAGATAGAACCTAGATAGAACCTAGATAGAACCTAGATAGAACCTAGATAGAACCTAGATAGAACCTAGATAGAACCTAGATAGAACCTAGATAGAACCTAGATAGAACCTAGATAGAACCTAGATAGAACCTAGATAGAACCTAGATAGAACCTAGATAGAACCTAGATAGAACCTAGATAGAACCTAGATAGAACCTAGATAGAACCTAGATAGAACCTAGATAGAACCTAGATAGAACCTAGATAGAACCTAGATAGAACCTAGATAGAACCTAGATAGAACCTAGATAGAACCTAGATAGAACCTAGATAGAACCTAGATAGAACCTAGATAGAACCTAGATAGAACCTAGATAGAACCTAGATAGAACCTAGATAGAACCTAGATAGAACCTAGATAGAACCTAGATAGAACCTAGATAGAACCTAGATAGAACCTAGATAGAACCTAGATAGAACCTAGATAGAACCTAGATAGAACCTAGATAGAACCTAGATAGAACCTAGATAGAACCTAGATAGAACCTAGATAGAACCTAGATAGAACCTAGATAGAACCTAGATAGAACCTAGATAGAACCTAGATAGAACCTAGATAGAACCTAGATAGAACCTAGATAGAAACTTGATAGAAGGCAACATAGATATTGGACTTAGAAATAAACTAGCACATTTTCAAACCTAGACACTTAGATTTTTTCCCGAAATATCGGGTGGTCCTTCGAGTGTTAGAACATTAGCTCTCGTTGGCACAAGCGTGCATAACGCCTACAAAGCTCGACTATCGTTACGGTGGACACGAGCAATTAACAAACACAATAAACAGTAACTATAATAATACATTTTATTCATATTCCTTGCTTCATCGTTATTTTTAATTTACTTATGGACAGTTTGTATTCTGATTATATTGCATGCTATACGTTAAAAATAAAAATGTAGTGGTATCGATAACGGAAAACTCTCTTTACATAAGTGTATATATAAGTATATAGGTTAGCATAAGTTAATTTAAAGAAAAGGCTGCGAATCCCTGATTTAAACATTTAAATTACCATAGGATGAAATATGTTAGTAGATATACATATAAAAGAAATATACTCACTGAAGCGCCATTCGATGTACAGCAACACCACTAACTATGTAACTGATACTTTTACTGTTTGCACAATCATTTGCACAATCTCGTCGAACACACGACGCAGAGGATTCCGCAAGAACGGCTTTTTGGAAATAATAACTAAGAACGATAAATACGTGCATTATTAAACACATGGAATAGATGGAGCTAACGATCGCAATTGCTTCGTCTGGTGCTCTTAGTTTCATGAGTCAATGTTCAAGACATAGGTGCATGCTTAAAAAAATAAGTATACAAAAAGGATGTATTTAATACAAAACAAAATTCTGCATTTTTTTTTAAAAATCTGTAAACAGATTTCATTTCGCACTTCTGAAAATTGCATATTCGGTGTCTCGAAACTGTCTTCAAAATATGCGTTAGATTGTGTGCTTATTTTCTGCATTCTCACATTGCATAATTAGACTTTCCTATTTAGTTAATTAAACATGTAGAAGAAGACATAAAGAATAAATTGTGTAACTACTTATTTTTTATAATAGCCTCAATCAACACAATCTGTCTGCTTCGCACTCTTTGTCATGTGATTTAATCTACAAAACAGAATTCTACTGTCGCTTTTAAAAAAGGGAGAATTCTACTGTCTCTTTTATTTACAGGATATAACACGTCACTCAATAAGTCTCCGGTCTAACTAAGAAAAACAAATTTTTTTTTAGAAATTCCACTTTAATCGTTAATATACGTTCCTTCCCGTGCGATACATTGATTCCAACGCTCCTCTAACTTTTCAATTCCCTTTATATTAAACGATTTGTCTTTGCCCCCAAAATAAGCTTCAGTTTCCGCAATCACTTCTTCATTTGAGCCAAATTTCTTTCCCTGGAGCATTTTTTTCATATCTGCAAAGAGCCAGTAGTCGCTGGGGTCCAAATGTGGGGAGTACGGTGTGTGGGGAAACAATTCAAAACGTAATTCATTCAATTGAACCATCGTGTTCATCGACTTGTGCCACGGCGCATTGCCTTCGTAAAACAGCAAACGCGGCACCCACTTTGAAAGCAATTTGCACATGCCCAAATTTTCATGCAAAATTGTGAAGACACTACCTTCTGATATCTTCAAGGCATCAGCTATCTCACACAACTTAAGTTTACGGCCCTTTAAAACTATTTTGTGACATTTTTTATGTTTTCCGGAACG